AAATTTCAAAATAATTATTTAAGTGAAGATTATTTTAATTATTAATAATTAAACTTATATAAATTGAATCTTTAAATCTATTTTTTGTATTTGCGAGTTTATTTCCTTCGTTCTTTTGATTCGTTGCATTTTATCTCTTTCACTTTTTATTACTTTTATTAAACATGCATGTTATTCTTTCCAACGTCAACAATGTGGTTTCTTTCATGTTCTTTTATAATTATAAATTTTAATAAATTAGTTTGAAAACTATAGTAAATCATTACTGTTGGAGCCGGATTTCTATAACAAATCCAGTCGATAAAAACATCAGAAAAAATAAACAAGTACAGTAATAATAGTACTCTCTCCGCTTTTTTAATATAGGATATTTTGGCTAAAACCACAAAGTTTAAAGAAAAAAAATTCTTTAAAAAAAAATTATTTAATATATAAAATAAAAACAAATCAACTAATTAAAAAAATGACTGCATAATACTATTGGTCACACCGTTTTCAATAAAGTTAAAAGCTACATTGAAATTTGAAAACAACTTATATTGTGAAACAAAAATAAACTTCTAAAACATCATATATTAAGGAATTGGAGGGAGTTAAAGATTAGGCCAAAAACCCAAATCCAACCCATAAAAACCCAAGAAAAAAGAAGTAAAAATAGCAGAAGATTTGTACCAAAAACTCAAATCCAGAACGAGTTTGAATTAAATCTATAGTGTATAACGTGATGGGCCCATATAGTGAGCCCCGTTTAGCCAAGATATGTGTAGAGTCGAAGGCGAGTAGGGTTGAAGAGCTGATAGAGAGTCAAAGAGATATATCACTCAAGCTTAACAGCAAAATTTCTGGAGGATCAACCCAGTGCGTACCCGAGATACGGGAAGCTAACCTAAAATACGCGGAGTTGGATCAAACTATATAGACAAGGAGTCTCAGCAGAGCAGAATTCGGCAACTTCCTCACACTTAAGACTACGGTCAACACTGTAAAGTGTAAACACATATCATTCGAGATCTCTTTGTATATTTGATTCAACATTAATATAAGGCTTGTTTCGCTATACATTGCTTAATTCCTATCAGTTTTATAAATATTTTTTAGATCTAACGTTTGTTCCCCGAATTCATTTATAAATTTTTAATGTGGAATTCAGTTTCCACAGTTACCATCTATATTTTAATAAGAAGATACAATCCAGATCTATTTTAATAATCAAATTTTTTATATATACAGTA